GCTGAAAGATATCGTAATGTAATTAAATTGTAATACACTTTTTATTGTAATTTCATTAAGATTTTGAATAAGTTTGATAGTTTAAGTTAAATAATAAGCCTGATCAGACATTGTTCAAACTACAAATTTAAGATAATATTTTGCTGTTTATTTGGTAAATGAAGTGAACATGTTTGGGTGAAGTCTCCTTTGGTTCTAACATCACTGGAGTTGTTAATCACACTGTAGCAGTTCAATCAGAGTCCTGTATTGTGTTCACAAACTATTCCTGAATGGCAAAGCTCCCCTCACATGCCTGCTTTCTGGATGCCCGCCGAGGCTCTGCCGGACAGATGTCTTGCCTAAGAACAATCCTCATCACCACTGAATATAATTGCTACCTTTGTAGGCAGCAGGAGACGCCAAGGATCAGATGAGTGAGAAGAATTAATTAATGGTAACCCATTTAGTGGGCAGCTAAGGGGAGGGGAAGCTCTGGGGCAAACAGAGACTGATTGGATAAGACTGCAGTAGAAGGTGAATGTGTATGTGTGTGTTTTGTTTGTTGTGTGTGTGTGGGCTGGTAGAAGGGTGAAGGCTAAGCTCTATAGCTCATTTCTTTTTGTGTGTGTGTGTGTGTGTGTGTGTGTGTGTGTGTGTGTGTGTGTGTGTGAGTGTGTACGTGTGTCCATCTTGTACATATGGCTCACTGTAGATGTATGTTTGTAGGTCGTGGGATTAGATATGGTACCATTGTTTTCAGCCAGAAATAAAGTACCCTAGTGGAAGTTTGTGTGGGTGAAATCTGTTCTCGGTTGAATACATTATTAGTACACACACACCGACCCATGCTGTGACTCACCGATCTTGGCCTCGTGCCACGATTCGGGATTGGAGAGAATCCACGGAGCTTGAGGACACTGCTGTTAAGAGGTTAAGTACAAGATACTATAGGATAAGGTGTGCGTTTGTTTACTCTTTAAGGGATGGAAATGTTCCCACTATAGGAAGTCTTCCACGTTTGAGTTAGTCCTTGTGCTGCTTAAAGGGACAGTTCAACCAAAATTTAAATTAGTTTATTTGGTAGCCCTCATGGGACATCTAAACTCAGTCTGTGGATGAAAACTGATTGTTATTTAAAACAATATTAACATTAAGCCTGGTTTATACTCGACGCGTCCGCTAGTTCACTGGAGTGCATGTGGCGAATGTGACGACATCGCTGTGTTTGCAGAGGTTCGCTTTGGCTGTGGCTGGCGGAGCCAAAATCAAATTTTTTTTAAGACTCGAGCTAACAGTTCCCACGGCGCCAATTTTTTTTATCTGAAATAGGTACGACTATACAGACATCTTTATGATCCTTGATCATAGAGATAACCAGATAATCAATATTCCTTGGCTAGAAATTCCCAACAGCTGTGGGAATGAAGGAAAATTTTTGTTAAAAAGTTTGAAAAAAACTGGGGGATAAGTTTGTTAAAGCCAAAAGAAGCAATGGCAGAAGTGGACAGTCAGGTTCACAATTACAGAAGTATGTTTTTCCAGCATGCATAGGTTGTACACTAATGCATATTTTACAAATTTGAATTTAAAATAATTTAATACAAAACTATAATTAAGGAAGAAATTATTTCTTTAATAACAGGAGAAGAATATTTGAACCTGTCGGTTTACAATATACTGATGACTTGTTTTTCAATGCTTTATTGGTAATAATGGTCAGGAATGTTGGACCATTATTGCCTTTTTAGCATAAGAAGAGGACAGAAACTAGCCAGACAGTATTGTGTGAATTGTGGAGTGGGCTAAATCTAAAAAAAACATCTGTATTTTTTAGTAAGTGCACTTTTTTTTATTCTTGCCATAATAAAAACATATTTGTAAAGCAACTCATGTTCTGTTGTCATTATTATTTTAATAAACTTGAATAGTTAAAACTGTCCAAAATATAAACAAAAGCAAGTGATGCATCAAAGTTTGATTAAAAAAAATCTCGAATGGTTATAAAAATCCTTATAATCATTAATCATTTATAAAAATAATTAGTTTAGAAAACGTCAAAAATAGTAATGACATGACGTAGTTACGGAAACTTTCTACTTCTCTTTTTAAGCTTCTGTCTTTACAGTTTATTTGTATTGACTGCATGCTGCGTTGTTTTAAAGAATAACACTAAGGCAAATGCGGCAAGTATAAAAGCCTCGTCTGTTTTGTAAGGAGCGCGTGCAGTCAGCGGAAGTGTGCGATGCGGCGCCAGGCGAAACTAATCCAGCTTTAGGCTACATCCACATGGCAACGATCATGGTTTTATGCATTTGCGAATTCTAAATGTTTTGCATCCACACACTTACCGTTGCAAGAAATGTCTACATCTAGATGGAAACACAAAGTGAAGTTTAATATTAAACAAATTTTAAGAGGAGCACATGTTCATGATTGACCCAGCTGGCCCACATTAGCTAATCACTCTGATGTTAAAAAACTCTCGCGATCGTGAGGCGGGTACCTCGGATTGAGCAGTCGGCAGCAGTTGCTCTCCAAAGATTGCGTTACCAAAAGCATGATGGGAAACGACTGGCTGACGACACAGCTTAATGCTGATTGGATGAGACTGACACATTACACTTTATTCTCTATCTTGTTTAACTAATATGGTTATTTATTTAGATTTACACGCAAACAAAAACAAAACACATCCTTGTAAAACATAGCGTGACCTATCCAATATAAATAAATGTTACTAATAAATCATTAGGATGTGCATGTGCTGTATTTTATTTCTCTCTCAGTTTAAAGTCCAGTTTGTTGTCATTTTCACTTTTTGTATGTTTGTGTAAATTTTGTATTGTAATTTTTATGCAGCGTTATTCCATGAAAGTCAATCCAATACATAGTGTACATATATGCTTACATGCATAGGTAATCAGACTGCTTTGTCATTATGCCTCATCTTTGTGTGGTTTCATATGAGAAGTAAAAGGGGTGTAGTAAACAAGACACACACAAACACACACACACACAGACACACGTTACGTATGTGAAGTCAAAAGTCATGTTATACCACAAGAGCATTGATCTTTCTCCTGTTTAGGAGATTAGCCTTGATTTTAGGCTTTGGGCTTAAGACTTGATGAGAGGATATGGTTTTGTGTTATAATTGTTTATAATGGTACAATGTGCGAACGCCTTTCAAATAGTTTCGATAAGTGAGCGATGTGTAGAAAGATGAGCGAGTAGAGCCGTGAACGGGTTACCTGTTTAGAATTTATCGAACGAATCAGAAGCTGTTAGACCTGTCTGGGCCTGGGTTCGTCTCTCACTCCCCTGTCCCTCCTGCCAAAGCAGAAGGGGAAGCCAGAGGGAGCCAATCAAAAGTAACGATAATAATGATAAGTGATAAGTAATGATAAGAGTGAACACATTGGAGCAATCCAGTGCATGAATTAGAGATTGACCTTGTTTGTGGGATTAGGACTTTCGCGTTATAATTGTTGATTTTTGTTTTAGGGTTTGGTTGTCCTTTAGGGTTAGGATTAGGTTGGGGTTAGGCTAGTTCACCCAAAATGGTTAATTCTGCCATCGGTTACTCATCTTTTACCTGTTTACATCCTTTAACTATTATCTTCCCGTGTTTTTTTTCAACGGAAAAACAAAACACCACTACAGAAGTCAATGCCGGGGTTGGGCCAAGAAACGCACCCTTGCTGCAAAATGCACCCCCTTATAGACTTTCATTAGTCTACATAAAAAATCAAAGGCTATAATTGATTAAAACGTAAAATGATTATTAAAATGAGTTACCATGCTACTCTGAATATTCCCTCTGAAATAGCATGTAAGTGTGGCTTAGTAATAAGTTAAATTTCTGCTTGTTGCTGGCCAAACACTAACTACATTTCTAACTGGCGAATGACATGAACTACAAGTGGGTTGTCTGCTGTCTTATGGCAGTGCTTGCGATTTCAGGAGGCGTGGCTTTAAAACACAGTCCCTCCTTTGCCGTCCAAAGATAATATGCTAACCTGTTAGCATTTTGGCAGATCACCTACTGCACCCTTAACATAATTGTTTTAACAAATTTAAGTGGACTGAACATAAAACAATTAAGTTCTACAAAAAAAAAAACAAAAAAAAAACTCAAGACTTATGTTGTTTTAGCTCATTTTAAATAGTTTGAACAAAAAAAAATGTAAAATGATTATTATTTTGATGGATAAAGCAAGGACAAGAAGTAAAACACATTTTAAAACGCACTACGTTTACAGATAAATGTAAAATAATATTATTGACTAGTGTAGCCTAAAATTAGTTTTTTTTGTGTGTGTTTTAAACAGAGATTTAGGCAGCATGGAAACATAAATTGTTTGTTGCCATTTTTTACTAAACCACATATTACATTAACTTAATCTCATCGGTATTGTATTTAAAGTCAGTCAATTTTTTATTCATATATCTTCAGTAAGGAAGGGCTCTATTCATGAAACTCACCTCAGTCACTCTCATTAGTGTCATAACTCTATTATTAAAGATATTTGTAATCAATTTGAGTTTAAATACACATTTTATAGGGTCTGCATTTTAAGCAGGGGTGCTCCTCTTTTTTTTTCACGTGCTTAACAGAAGAAAGATACCCGAGTGGAATCACCCGAGAGTGAATAAATGTTATTTTTTTGGGGTGAACTATCCCTTTAAATGGTTTATTTTTTTCGAACAAAACTGAATTTTATCGAGTATTACCAGCACCCTGTTCATATGGGTCTATAATTCTATTCACTGTCGTTAAATGCTCTCTATATACAAAAAAAAAAACAAAAAAAAAAACAAAAAACATCATGATCTTGCTTTGTAGTTCGTGGTGTCGTTAGCGTCGTGTTTTTTAGAGGCCCGTTAAACCGTTCCTCCAGTTCCCCCGCCGCTGCTCTCCATTGTATCCTCACCATGATGGCACTAGGACCGTGCGGAGCAGCAAAGCAGAGGCAGCAGCGTCTCTTTGTTCGGCGTGCAACATCTCATCTCCTCCTCCTCCTCCTCCTCTCGCGCTCCGCAGTGACTCTCCGCTCCCCATCATCACTGCTACACTGGTCTGGATGATTGCAGTGGCAGCAACATGGCTGTGAATCTCAGCAAGAACAGACTGGCCCTCTTAACAGCCTACCAGGACGTTATCAACGAGACTTCGGCGAACGACTGGTAAGATAAATCAAAGGACTCCTTATTTTTTTGTTTGGCGTCACTTCATCGCATTGAATGGAATGAAACTTGCGTTGCAGAGAATGGGATGCAAGGATTAAACGCGTTTGGGATGCGTTCTAGATCTCATGCTTTCTATTCCTCAAATCTTTCTACCTATTTGTGTGTGAGAATCGATTTGTTAATACACTAGTCACAATGGTGATTTATTTATAATTGCATTTATATTTTGAAGCCTGAAGCGACACATTTTTGTCATTTTGTTGGCATCTCTTTTGCTTGTATGTTTGCTGTACTCGAATTGTACAGTAGGTTGCAGTTCATGTTTTGACCTCCAGAGAGTTGTGCAAGGGGTTCTGTACTGTTTGCTCAGTTCATAGGAGTCTTCACTACAGAGCCAATTGGAAAGCATGACTAGATGATCATAAAGCCAACATACTTAGAGCTTTTCCAATTATTTTACCTGCTTGATTGAAGTATTAGATCTTCTTTTCATTTGCATGGCCTGGAGAGAGATGGGCGAGGCAAGAGCTGTCAATCAATTTATCATTGTGTGCTCTTATCGCTGTCTTTAGTACCAGACGGAAATATAACCATCAGTATTAGAGCTCTTTGTATGGTCTATATGGGTTTTGTATTGGCCTCGTGGTTGTGCGTGTTGTACGGGACAGCGAGGTGTCAGATCTCTTTGTGTTCAAAATGAAACTGTGGATCATTGTCGGTTCAGCACCCCTGCGTATGAAGTTTTGATTTGGATGATGTCCAGAAAATGTATCCTTATGCAGGGCTGGACACTCTGACTCTGGATATATGATGACTCATGATTGACCAATATATTAGTCAGGCCCAGTGCTTAGCTAATGTTTGGGCTTTTTGGCATTATCAGCGTTGGACTCTCAATGTTGGGCCAATTTAACAGTGTCAGTCCACCCACAGCCTTGCTTGGGAATAATATTAATGAATTATTCTTTTATTATATTATATAATTCTTATATATATATATACTTTTTCTTCATGGCATTAATGTATTCATATTTCTTTATGTATGCATGTATGTATATCTTTTGTATTTGTATGCATGCCTGTTTTTAGCATATACCATTTTAGACATTTAAATAAACAATACTAATAATAACGATAGAGCTTTGATATTGACATTGCAGCAAGATGAAAAGATTCAAAACTATGTGTTTAACTTAATTTTTTTGTACCTACATCATAATGTGTCTTGAGCAAAAAGATAAAATGGCTATAATACATCTTTAACATTATTTTTAGATGGCATTTGTTGGGATATCAAAATGGTATATTCAAGGATGCAATACAACTAAATAATTGTTATTTAAAACATTTTTACTCTTGTTGAGTATTCATACTTTCTTTTCCATATTTGTACAGGTGCAGGTCAGAAATTTTTTTTTTTTATTTGCAAAAAAAAAAAAAAAAAAAAAAAAAAATATATATATATATATATATATATAATTTTTTTTATTTATTTATTTATTTATTACCTGGCTATCACACCCATTTATTACAGTTATTACACATACTATTTTCCAAAAAGATACTTGCAACATCATAGTAGATGTTTGTGTGTAATATGATTTTTACCTACAGTATATGAAATCATTTAGGAAAAAGTACTTATTACTTATCGTAAACACCAAAATAGGACGTCACAACTTTTACCCATGTTTTGTGGTTTGTATCTTTATTTACAGAAATAAATCCATCTACTTGAGATTATTACATAGATTTATGCCGTACTCTTTTATTAATCACCTAGACCTATTATATTGGTAATCTAACCCTCTACTCTCTCGAATAGTCAGTATTACCAATAACAATAAATTTTAACCCGTATTGATTGACCACCAATGATGTTCATAGTAACTAGCCCCCAGGCCTGGTTTCCAGAGAACTAATCTTATTGTAGCCAAAGTGGCTCATATTGTTTAGAGAGTAGACCTGGTTTCAAAATGAGTTATTTTTAGGTTAATAGCGCTTGAAGTTACAGTTCTCAAATTTTCTTACCATCATTTAGTGTAGATAATTGCATATAGATAAAAGATTATTATACTGCTTGAGATTATTAAATTGATTTAAGTAAAATATGAATAATATATTGGTCTTGACACCTTGCTTTCTTTAATATTCAGTATTCCCATTAACAATGAATTTTAACCCATATTTATTATGGGTAAATAAATCACAGTTATTATGAACTCAAAGTAACTAGCCACCAGGCCATAGTTCTCAGAGAACTAATTTCATTGTAGCCACGGTGGCTCATATTGTTCATAGTGTTTAGACAATAGACCCTGTTTTAAAATAATTGCCCTTTTTTAATTGTCCCAAATGCCATCACTATAGCATTAAAATGAGGAGATTCCTCCAATGTGTAAATCACATTAAGTAAATGTGCTTTATAAATGTGAGGAAGTATTATTTCCAGTTTCCACCAAGAAATGAGTACTTCCACAAATAGTTGTAGGAACTTTTAAAAAACGTTCCTCACGGTTCAAAGTGCTTGAAGTTACAATTCTCAACTTGCTTTAACATCATTTAGTGTAGATAAATGCATATAGATAAAAGGGTTCCACTTCATATAAAGTGTTGTTAACTACTATTTACTTTCATCAAAAGATGAATAAAATGTACTTCATGTGTTCATAAATGTATTGCAGAAATCTTCTGGTGCTCTTGAGGGATGGGGTATGGGTAAGGTTAGGGACAGATTTAGTGGTTTGGGTAGTTTTAAGAGTAGAGCCCCTTTCACACATACAGACCTTTCCGGAAAGTTGCCGGCAATTTTCCGGAAAGGTTGTATGTGTGAACAGGTCCTTTTTGAAAATACCGGTAAATTCGTTCTGGCTATTTTCCGTAAAGAGAAGTTGTAACATTACCGGCAATTTGCCGGAATGCTGCGCTGTGTGAATGCAGAAGGAAGATTGCCATAATTGCCATAATAAGCGCGTGCACGTCTAGAACGTGCTGACGTGAGACGTCTGCTTTAGCCAATCACAACAGTCAGACGCATTTACTTCCGCGCGGTTTGTGAGAATAAAAGCCTTTGAATATTTTTCCAGACAAATTTAGCTGCTAGAAGTTAGTCAGATCACATTTATATGTTCTTCTTAATGCCAACTGTGTAAATAATCTTCGATGAGATGCTTATGATAAGCCGTTGTTTGTTTACCTTCAAGCTTTGCGTGTGCCTGCACACGCACATATTATGAACATCTCGACATGCGAAAGTGATCCTGCGAAAGTTGTTCACAATATTGATCATCCACAGAGTTTGTAATTTAGTCAAATGTTTACAAATACAAGCGCAGCCGTTTAAAGCTCATTTGTGGTGAATGATGTCAAAATTTACTGGTATTTTGGAATGGATGTGTGAATGCTCTATTCCGGAAAATTTCCGTAACGTCCTCGTCTGTGTGAACAGCACTTTTTTGAATATACTGGTAAAGTCGTTCCGGAAATTTTCCAGATATTTACCGGTATCACTGTGTGAAAGGGGCTTAGGTTAAGGTGTAAGGTATGGTCGACAGTGTAATTATAAATGTGATGATTACAGAAGTTAATTACATATGTAGTTACTTGCATGTATTTAATCAAGCATACATACAATTTAAAAACGTGTATTTACACAATGAGAAAATTGTAACGAATCATAATTTCCAAGTAAGTACATATTAGTTAAGGCCACTTAATACAAAGTGGGACCGATGCATTTTAAGAGTCTAAACTAGACCAGATTTAATGAGGATCATCTGTTTGAGCTGAAAATCATCACTGTGGGAGTCTGTCTAATTGATCTTGGTACAATTTTGAAACAAATGGACATAAAATCAATAACTTTTCCAGAAGGATTCAGATTCTCTCGTTCTCATCGAGATGTTTGTTTTCTGCCTCAACGCTCTGTAATTTGCTTGATTGCATGATTATTGCTTTGAATAAACTGATGTCCCAGAGTTGCCCCTTTATACACAGATGACGTGAGGGGAAGAAAGACAAAGACTTTCAACCTCTGTAAACACTTTCCTTCCTTCATATTCACCCTTAAACCTTGGTCCAAACAATGCTCTTGTCCTATGTGCGTCCAATCACATGACTGCACCAGATGCAAACACAACTTTCTACTCTTTCCTGTTAGCAAAACTCATCATAGGCTTTTACCCACATAGTTGACCTTATCACCAAGTACTTCTGTCCTTGTTTGAGTTAACTCGCATTCCTCTTCCTGGTATTCATCCATGTGGTGTTACGATACAACCAACACCAACCAACTGAGCCTATTTGTGAAACCTTACCACAAAGCAACTCCGTTTAAAAGATGAGGTCAAGCCCACAGGGTCATCAACCCTAACCACTATTCACTGCCAACAGTACTTAAGGGTAGACTTCAAAATGGAGTAGATTAAAACTTCTGAGGCGCATTAGACATAAAATCAAATTGTCCCGAGTGCATGTGTAAGGTTGGAGGACGAGGTCTGGGATGTCCTTTATAGGGCGTCATCCTTTTTAAAAAAGGATTTCGATTTGTGGAGAGCCGTAGGGTTTTTAACAGACATGCGTTTGAAGTCAGACAAGGAAAGGTTGGATATCAGAGTACTCTCAAATATCAAACCAGAATTGTTGTAAAGAAGGTTCTGAAGAAAGAATATGGATATTTGATCCTCAGGGCTGATAATGACTTCAAGAATAATTATGTTGAGTAAGGGTAGTGAAGCCAGATCTTCTAGACTCTTCATGTAAGCTTTCTACAGACCTCTGTTTGTTATTAAAAAAACAAACTACTTTTATTGGACATGAACACATTTTACAACTCCCCTAAAGTTAAACAATTGAGTTTTACCATTTTTTAATGCATTCAGCTGATTTGCTGGTCTGATGAGATCATTTTAGTTTAGCTTAGCATAAATCATTGAATCGGATTAGACCATTAGCATCTCACTTAATAATCTAAAAACAAATAGTTTTTTGGAGTTTAT